AAAAAGCTGGGCATGGGGGCACAAGCTTGTAGTTCCTACTACTTGGAAGGCTGGAATGGAAGGATCACCTGAGTCCAGCAGGTTGAGATTGTGGTGGCCATGTGTGTGCCACTCTAACCTGGGCAACAGAGAGAGACTACGACTTAAAAAAAGAACTTGCTGCTACTGCTTCTGTCTTCCTCTGACAAATTTTGATACTTACTTTCTAAAAACCACAGTGCATGAAATTTTCTTTTGGGTTCAGTGGGAATTAGAAATATATCTGTAGATATTTAGGGAAAACAAAGGAGGTCAAATAATATAAAATGCTCATTCTTTTACTTAAATAATTTTTTTCCTTCTTTGTCTTTGGCTGGATAAGGGTTCTACAGAGATGGAAGAATTTGTAATGCTGAAGCAACAGCTCCAAGAGAAGGAGGAACTCAAGCCCAGCTCAGTCAGACACAGGCAGAGCAACCTGCACAGGTAAGGTTGAAAGGTAACCCTTAAATTACAATAAAGAATCATAAAGTCCAATGGGATATTGCAGCCAATCCAATCACTTACAAAAATCTTAGTAGCTGGGTGTGGTGGCTCACACCTGTAATCCCAGCTCTTTGGGAGGCTGAGAGGATTGCCTGAGTCCACAGGTCAGAATTCAGATAACCAGTTTGCATTGTGACAGATCCATGCCAGGTCTGGGCAACGTGGTGAGATCTCATCTCTAAAATAAATAAAAAAATTAGCCGGGCATGGTGGTGTGTGACTGTAGTTCCAGCTGCTTGGAAGGCTGAGGTGGAAGGATCGCCTGAGCCCAGCAGGTCAAGGCTGCGGTGGCTGTGAGCATGCCACTGCACTCCAGCCTGTGCAACAGAGTGAGACTTCAACTCTAAAAAAAAAAAGAAAAAGAAAAAGAAAAATCTTAGTAGATAAAAGTATAGTAGTTAAAGTTTTATAGTAGCATCAGAGAGTGTGTAGTAGAAGAATTTAGAAAATGTTTTGTAGGTAAGTTTGTCATTTGAGAATGCAAGAAAACCTCAGAAAGTCTTATTTACCCTTATGGGTTTGCTGTAACTTAAATGGTGGCTGTTTCTTAGTTCTACAGGTCCAGAAATTTGATTTTATTAGCACACAGTGGTTCAGTCTCTTAGGAATAGGCTCATGCTGAGTTTAAAAGAGTCTGATAGATAAACCAAAAGAAATACAAATAATGGGCCCATTTTTTCCTACGATAATCTCTTAATGGGAAGATAAATTATAATCAGAAGATTACTTAGTGAGCCTGTAGTGAGAAACTGGTACAGGTTATGTGATTTAATGTTAAATGGCACCAATATGTGGCATTCTTTTTTCTATTTATTTCTGTTACCAGGACCAGGCTATTTGGATGGCATCTTTAGTTCTTTCAATTTTTCTAAATTTCCTGGTTGACCACCCAGCCCCACATTTTTCTTTGAGAATGCTTTTGAATCATGAGAGATTTTTCTCTGGAGTTCCTTTGCACATGGCTAATGGTATACATGGGGTATTTACTGATAACTTGTAGCCTTAGTGGTGCCTTCTGTCTGTTGATGTCTACTGCTGTGTATACAGTTAAAATTGTATATCCTAAAATCCTCAGGTTACCTATTAGTTTTTATTGTGTCTTTTCTATGTACAAGTACTACATACATGTAGGATGGGAAAATAAAACGTTTTTACCTACAAGTTGGCTAAAATATAATAAACCAGGATATAAATATTTTAATGGATCTGTCACAATGCAAGCCATTCTAAATAAGTACCAAAGCAATTAGTAAACAAAGTATTTTGAGGGGTGAAAGAGATTACTGTGAATGTGATAATCAAAGAAGATTACATAGAAAAATTGGCATTAGGCAAAACACTATAGATAGATATTCTAGACAAGCTGGGGGATGGTAATTCAGTCATGGAGAATGGTATGAGCAAAATCTTAGAGAAGAAAGAGAATATGACACATTTGCAAGAAAGGATGTTAGATGGTTTTGCTGATGATGGTTTTTCAGGATTGTAAATTCACAGGGAGGTCAGAATTCAGATAACCAAATATTATGAGAACTTTTTCTCCTATTTAGAAGCAGAACCAAAGTTAATTCAAATTGTCACAAACTGAGAAATGAGCAGTATTTGAAGGATCAAACAAAATAGGCAAGCTAAGAACTGGGTAGCATGCTTAAACAAAGATCTAAAGGAAACAAGTAAGCACGTGCATGCACGCGCGCACACACACACAATCTAAAAACACATCAGAAACAGTGATACTGAGAAATTCTCAAACAGTCCATTTTTAAATTTCATTCTATTAAAGGCCAGTTACAAACGAACATGATCTAGAAGGTTGCCAATAATGAGAACTGAAAACAGTTGTCTGAGGAAGTGACGTAGGTTTGGAAGCACAGCAAGTTCTTTGGTAGAACCTGTCCTTTGAAAATAAGACTAGAATTATAGGTTTGTATATCCAGTTGTAGAGAATCTTGAATAAAAGATAAATTTGCTTGAACTTTCACTTATAGGGCATGAGAATTTCATTGAAATTTTTTGAACATGAATGTGATATTGAAAGAAGTGCCCAGGGTTTAGCTGAAATCTAACTTCACTTTGTATGTTTAATATCCTAATCTTCTTAGAACTTTTTAAGAAACAAACTTGTGTGTTTAAAACATTTCTAATAATGATGAAAATATAATTTTTAATTAAAATTTGTTTTAGGTTTACTTCTAATTTTGAAAATAGGCTTTTTCTCACAACTAGAAATTATTGTCAGCACTGTCTCTCTTCCAACTGTCTCATCTTTGACATCTGAAACTTAATTTTCAGAAAGCTACTATCTGTCAATTCTCAGTGGTTGTCTTTGGAGAGCAGTCTGTGAGTTTTGTTTGTGCAATGTTTGAGGAGGGTAACTTGTACAGTTTCTTTGGTATGTGTCTTCAGTTGAGGTCCATGCAGCAGGTGATCCGAGAGAAAGGTGCCTGCTTTGAAACACGTTTGTCTTCATGAAGATGAGCTTCTTCAATTAGTAACCGAGGCAGATGTGGGAACAGAGATGCAACAGGTTTGTTGCTAAAACTCAGTAGAATGATTACCATTTTGGTTAACATTTAATTAAATCACCACAGTCAATTTACTACCTTTACCCTCTGCTCTTCACTTGGTGTTAGAGTGCTCCTCATTGGCTTCTTTTTGGTGTTCTTGTCATCTGTTGCATATTTTTTGCTTTTTCTTATTCTTACCTTGCCTTCTACCCCTATGATCAGGGTGATAGTACTAAAAGCTGAGTTTAGTTGGTGAGTGTATGTGGTAGTCAGAAATTGGTTTCTCTTTAGTTTGCTCCATTCGTGCATTACAAACTTAATCCAAAGCTTCGAATAAATGAAGTCAGTTTTACATTTTCAAAAAATTAGAGATGAAAAGGAGTGATTGTGAAGCCAGGATGTCTTTTGTTAGGTCAGTACTTTTTTAAATAAAAAAATTCATTGAGTAGTTTTCAGAAATTGACTTCATTGCATTTGAGTTTATCATCAACTAACTCAAAGTATTTGTTTTCACTTAGTGTGCAATGCAGTGTGGTACTGAAAGGCATTTTGTTGGTACTTAATACTTGATCTGTCTGCTTTTAAGTGAACATTTCTAAGTTCTAAAAAATCCTTTAGAATATGCGAGTAAATGAAGTTTCAAAATACAGCATTTTATTTTTATTTTTTAAACATATTTTTTACGAATGTTGAACCAGACTTGCATCCCAGGGATGAAGCCTACTTGGTCATGATGGATGATTTTTGAGATGTGTTGTTGAATCCGGTTTGCTAGGATCTTGTTGAGAATTTTAGCATCTATGTTCATCAAAGATATTGGCCTGTAGTTCTCTTTTTTTGTTGGGTCTTTACCTGGCTTGAAGTAATCATTCATCTCTTGAAGGTTCTGTTCTGTCTTTTAAAGCTTCTTTTCTATGTTTTTGACAGTTTGTGTTAGTTCTGTGTTTTTGTCTTCAAACTCTGAGATTCTTTCTTCTACTTGGCTAATTCTGCTTTCCATGCTTATTAGTTTGTTATTTATTTCCATCACAGTATTCTTTACTGCTGTTATTTCTGTCATCAGCTCCTTCCTATTTTCCTCTTGTCTCTCCTTAATTTTTTTATTCTGCCTATTAATGTCTTGATGTCTGGGTTTGTTGCATGTGACCAGTCATTCTGGGAGCTCTTCATTGTTTGTGTTCCGAAGTCCGTTTTCTCAATGTCTGATCTCCCAGGGGTTTGTGTGAGATCTATATTCTTCTTTTGTGCAGTTTTTTCCTCCCTACTTTTTCCTTCCCTCCACTTCCCTGTCTTCTTTAATTCTGTTATTCAGGGGTGGAGGGGTTGCTTTTACTTCTGTTTGTTCAATCTCCTATTGTTCTTTATGTATATTCTCTTGCTTTGTTCAATTCTGGAGTTGATCTGTAGGTTGGGGGCAGTCCTTTTTGCAGTTTTGAGATTTACTTAAGGGGGGAGCCGTGATTCAAAATCTATCGGCAGATCCCGGTTTCTGCTGACAGGTGTATGGATAATCTGAAACCCACTTCCCACTGCCTTGGAATTCATCATGCAGTGGGGTTGTAGGTTTACTCCCTGAAAGCAAAATGATGTTAACAGAAGGAAGAGAATGGAGCGGGCAGTGGGGGGAAGAGGGGGTGGAGAGAGAGAGGAGTAAGAGGGAAAACAGATGAGCATACCAACAAATGAAGAGCAATGTGTTCCCACTTTCTCTGTCCTCACAAAAACATACCCTGACTCCAAGTCCCCTCTCTAGTTGTCATCAGATAGCTAGGTTCAAATGCCAGTTGTGCCACTTAGTAAACAGTTATCAATACATCTTTGTGACTTTTGGCAAATTATGTATTAGTATTACTATAAATCTTCACAACAACCATCCTGTGTAATACTATTATTATCCCTATTTCACAGATAAAGAAACTCAGAGAACTCATATATAACCAGGTTGATTTAGTAACCTTCAGTTTTTTATTAGTAAATAAAATAGGGGTAGTAGTATTTGCATCATGGCACATAATAAGGATCATATTGTGAGGAAATAATACGTGAAAGTATGTAGTACAGTGTTGGCCCATAGAAATGGCACAGTATAATAGCTAAAACTACTGTGACTCTACTGAAATCTGAAATCATTCTAGATAGACATGTAACACTTCTGAATTGTTGAATACTATATTTGCTTTTTATTTTTTAATATATTTTTGTAGAAGCGAGGTCTCACTATGCTGCTCAAGCAATCTTGAACTCTTGGGCTCAACCAATCCTCTCACTTCAGCTTCTCAGTTTGCTGGGATTACTGGTGTGAGCCACCAAGCCCATTTATATTTGTTGTTGTTGAACACTCATTTTTGAGGCTTTTCATTCCCTTGACAGTTATTAGTTATTAAAAGAACATCATTAGACAGTTATTATTAGAACATTACATTCCTTTGGCTCTCTGCCCACATATCTGGAGTTTTTCTTTTGTTTATTTTCACTTCACAGACTTCTCTTCCTGCCCCTTAGAAATGTTTTTCAATGCACCAGTCTCGGCTTAGTATTATTCTCACTGATATCTTCTTCTCTTGTCCTCTGTTATGGTAGATATGAGACTCCATCCCTAAAGCCACTAGCATTTCCCAGATGTTTATCTCCCCACTGCATTTGGAATATATCCAGTTACCTGTTGATAATATGAACAAGTCCCTCAAGCTCAACAAGTCAAAAATCAAACTCTTCCCTTCTTCAAACCTGTAATTTTAAACATATTTTCTCTCTGTTAGTAGACCATTAACTCAAAAGAATAAAACTTATTAGACTTTCTTATTTTCTCCATATTCTTTATCCCCTACAACTAATTATCAAGCTCTGCTGATTTTACCTCTTAAATAATTTTGTATCTATACTTTCTTCTTTATCAGTAATATCAGTACCTTAGTTCTGGCTAAGGAGTTTCTTTGCAGAGAGAGAATTCCCTGACAGATTTTCCTCTGCCTCAGTTTTTTCTTTCCATTCCCAAATTTATCCTCTGTCATCGAATCAGAGGGATGTATTCAAAAATAGGATCTGACCAGGACTCTTTATTACTTGAAAGAGTAAATTTCAAATCCTTTAACAATATGATATACAAATATCCTTATGTTATTTTTTTCAGCCTCATCTCCTACCTTTTCCTGCTAGAGTTTTACCTACTAACAATACCAAACTCCACAGATAACCATATTTTTTCTTATTTTTTATAATCAATATTTTAAATTATGATATTGTGGGGTACAGTTAAGGGTTAAGTATACAAATATGCTTCGTTCAGGCACCCTTGTTGATAAGTGGTGTCTCCCCGTCCCCAGACAGATGTTTGCTGCCATTAATCCCATCTCCCTTCCCCTCCCCCCATAGTTTCCCACAACTGTCAGTCATTTTCTTATGGCAATACGTTGGATGACCAATGTCCACTACATGAGTGAGAACATGTGATCCTCAGATCTTTGTTTCTGTGAGAGGTCACTCAGTATTATAGACTCTAGTTCCATCCAGGTTGCTGCGAAATTCATGATTTTGTTCTTTTTTTATGGCTGCATAGTATTCCATCATGTTTATGTACAACATTTTTTTAATCCAGTCCTCTTTTGATGGGCAGCATGATTGGTTCCAGATTCTTGCTATTGTGAACAATGCTGCGATAAACATTCGTGTGCTGGTATCTTTTTGATAGAGTGATTTGAGTTCTTCAGGGTATATTCCCAGTAGGGGGATTGCAGGGCACATTTTTTCTTACATCTATATTTTTTGACCTGTTTATCTGCCTAATGATGCTTGCCTAGCTGATTTATTATTATTTAAGTCATATATTGAATAGTTCTTTTAGGAAGGCCACCCTAGTTTATCTTTTTCTACTCCTGCTAATATCTTTTAAGTATCCTTTGTGGCCTTGATCATTTTGTATTACACTTTTCTACTTCATGGTCTCTGAATGAACTCAGAGTTCTTTAAAGGTAAGCACTGGATTCAAACTTAGAGCATTTTTTGTGTAACAATGTATGCCACATATTATGATAGAAGCTGGAGAAACAAAGAGATAAAACACACAGAGTATCTTTGCCTGTAGAACTTATTATCTAGAGGGACAAGATGGAAATGAAAAAGATAATGATGCAAATGAATATTTATAAGTTAAAAAAAGGTCAAAAGTATTAAAAGCACAAAATAAGAAACCTTTGCCACTAAAGGTGTGGTCCTGAGTACCTACATTAATGGTAACCCTAGAAGAAGCACTTCAATATGCTTACTGAATGTTAGAATGTATTTATAACTAATGATATTTGCCTTTTCCTTAAGTTCTCTCTTGGCAGATACCAGCAGATAGAAGCTGAGCATATTTTAAAGAACACTGTGGAAGGAGAGAAACAAAAGTCCAAGATTCTGAAGAAAAAGATGGAACTTGAAGTGGTAGAGAGAAAATTATCCTTCCACAACCCGTGGGAAGAAATGAAACATCTCTTGGAACAGTCTGAGAAAGGAGGCCAAGCCCAGGCTGAACTGGATCCTTGGTACCGTAGTTTAGAGAAGCACCAAGCAGAAAGGGAAGAGAAGAACACTCACATCATGAGTCTTCAACAGGCTGAACAAGAGTGCCGATCTGCTTGTGATGCTCTGAGTGATGAAAATTCACAACTTCTCTAAGATAACCAGCACCTTTTGGAACAGTGTGAACAACCAGGCCAAGTTCAGGCAGAACAGGAGGCTCGTTACTGTGCTTTAGAGGAGAAGCACCAAGAAGAAAGGCAAGAGAGGAACACTCACATCTTGGGTCTTCAACAGGTGGAACAAGAGCTCCAAACAGCCTGTGATGCTCTGAGGGAAGAAAATTCAAAACTTCTCCAAGATAACCAACACCTTTCAGAACAGTGTAAAAAAGCAGGCCAAGTCCAGGCTGACCTGGAGGCTCACTACTATGCTTTAGAAGAGAAGCGCTAAGCAGAAAGGAAAGCCATGAACACTCACACCTTGGGTCTTCAACAGGCTGGACAAGAGCTCCACACTGCCTGTGATGCCTTGAGAGATGAAAACTCAAAGCTTCTCCAAGACAAACATCACCTTTCAATACAGTGTGAGAAAGTGGGGCAAGCCCAGGCTGACCTGGAGTTCACTACCATGCTTTGGAAGAGAAGCACAAAGCAGAAAGGGAAGTGATGAACACTCACGTCTTGGTTCTTCAACAGGCTGAACAAGAGCTCCGATCTGTGATGATCTGGGGGGTGAAAATTCAAAGTTTCTCCAAGATAACAGTCACCTTTTTAAACAGTCTAAGCTAGCGGGGCAAGCCCAGGCTGACCTGGAGGCTAGTCACCATGCTTTGGAGGAGGAGAACCAAGCAGAAGGGAATGCGACCAACACTCACATCTTGGATCTTCGACAGGCTGAACAGGAGCTCCGATCTGTCTTTGATGCTCTGAGGGAAGAAAATTCAAAGCTTCTTCAAGATAACCAACACCTTTCGGAACAGTGTGAACAAGCAGGCCAAGCCCAGGCTAAACTGGAGGTCCGTTACTGTGCTTTGGAGAAGCACCAAGAAGAAAGGCAAGAGAGGAACACACATCTTTGTTCTTAAACAGGCAGAACAAGAGCTCCGAACTGCCTGTGATGCTCTGAGGGATGAAAATTCACAGCTTCTCCAAGACAAACACCATCTTTCAAAACAGTCTGAGAAAATGGGGCAAACCGAGGCTGACCTGGAGGCTCATTGCCATGCTTTAGAAGAGAAGCACCAAGCAGAAAAGGAAGTGGTGAACACTCACATCTTGGGTCATCAACATGATGAACAAGAGCTCTGATATGCCTGTGATTTTCTGAGTGATGAAAATTCACAGCTTCTCCAAGACAAACATCACCTTTATAAACAGTCTGAGAAAATGGGACAAGCTCAGGCTGAACTGGAGAAAAGGAAGCGATGAACACTCACATCTTTGGTCTTCAACGTGCTGAACAAGAGCTCCGATCTGCCTGTGATGTTCTGAGTGATGAAAACTCAAAGCTTTTCCAAGATAACCATCATCTTTTGGAGCAATCTGAACAAGCAGGACATGCCCAGGCTGACCTGGAGGCTCGCAACTGTGCTTTGGAGGAGGAGAACCAAGCAGAAGGGAAAGTGAAGAACACTCACAACTTGGGTCTTCAGCTGGCTGAACAAGAGCTCTGATATGCCTGTGATCCTCTGAGGGATGAAAATTCAAGCCTTCTTCGAGATTGAAGAGGCAATTCAATCAGCCCAGGCTCTTCAGCATTTGGAAGGTCAGTTTTTGATTGTTTTTGCAGTTTTCATTCTAGCAGCTGAGTAGCTTATATTTTATATTTTAAGGGATCTATTAATGACATTATTTGCTCAGACCAATTGAACTATAGATAGAGTGAAAAAGACATTGTTTCTGAACCTTTTGGCGCACTATTTCTGCCTGTGACTTAAGTTATAATGTCTTAATATTATGCTTATCCTTATAGTACTAAAAACATGATAGTGGTGTTCCAGATATCTGATAGAATGGTATGTGAAAAATGACTGATCTGAAGAGGTCAGTTACTGAAATGAGTAGGACTCAACTTCGTTTTTGGGAAGCTCAGAACGTATATAAATGATTAGAGGAATCAAATTTCAGCTATCATCATGAAATCTAGAGATGGATCTCAATGCTTTTCTCAAAGGTGAAAATTTCTTTTTAAAGAAAACTTATCCTTTAAGAAGATATACAGAAGACTTATTTTTTCTAAATTGTGTTATTATTAAAGTAATATGTGCCTCTAAAAAATTGGTCATTTTAGAAGTTTACTAATTGAAAAGTGAACCTTCCTCAATACCAACATTCCATCTCACCAGTCCTCATCCCCATGTTATAACCTATACTAATAGAATGGCACATACCTAGAAGTAAGATTTTGTTTATTTTACTATATTTTATTTTTTTAAATTGTAGTCCCACTCTTTCATCCTGGCTGGAGTGCAGTGGAACGCTTACAGTCACTGTAGACTCAGTCCGCTAGGCTCAAGCAATTCTTCCACCTTAGCCTTCCAAGTAACTGGAACCACAGGCATGTGTCATTGCCCATGGCTGATTTTTTGATTTATTGTAGAGAAAATGTCTTGCCAAGTTGCCCAGGCTGGTCCAAACGCATGGGCTCAGGCAGTCCTCTTGGCTGCAGCTTCCAAAGTACTGGGATTACAGGCTTTAGCTATTACTCCTGGCAAATGAGAGATTTCAGAAGCAATTAAGTAAAAAATTCTTATCAAAGAATTTTACTGGGTGTTACATGAGCATGCTATCTTCTTAACTGAACCATGTTCATGTTAAAACTGTGCTGTGGATTCTTATTAGGACATATAACATCTTAGTGGAGAGTGATGAAAATAAAAACCACTAAAGCCATTTTCAAGGGGAAAAGAAAAATGAAATTAAATGAATGAAAAAAATAGGCCTAAGCTGGGTGCGGCTTCAAGACCAGCCTGGGCAACTTGTCTCTACAATAAATAAAAAAATAGCCAGGTGTGGTGGCACACACCTGTGGTTCTTGCTACTTGGAAGGCTGAGGAAGTAGGATTGATCGCCTGAGCCCAGCAGGTTGAGGCTGCGGTGGTTGTGAGTGTGCCACTGCACTCCAGCCTGGCTGACAGAGTGAGACTCCAACTCAAAAACAAACAAAACTAAAAAATACCTAGGCTTATTTTATTTGACCTCTGAAGGAAGTGGTTTGCTGAAATACCCTTTAGTCCATGAGAACATTTAAACAGTTTTAAAAAATATATCGTCATGGCATCAGAATTTTAATTAAGGCAACTAAACTAGCAAACAGCGTATGGTGTATTCTTAGAATTTAAGTTCAACACATTAAGTTTCAGATTTGAAGTAGATAATTACATTTATTTGTTTTCTTTTCCTTAGATCAACTCCAGGAAAAATCCAAAGAAATTAGCCAACCTGTAAGTAAACCAATCTTGCAACAACATGAAATAGCATCTCAGACTTCTTTCCTATACATTTATAATGAGGGTACACAGGTAATGAAATGTGAACTTATAAATATGAAGTACTCGTCTTTGCTGTGTATATGCTTAGAAGTTGTAATGAGGATTTATTCTAGAAAGTATATAAGCTTATCTTTTCTGCCTGAAAAAATGCTAGTTTGAGGACAATTCTATGTGAAAAGGACATAAAAGGCATTAATGTGGTGCCTTATCAATGAATAACGAGAAAATAGTAGATAACATGTACTATGATCTCAGAAGCCTTTCTGTTTTAAGGTATTAAAAATTTGTATTGGAGGTGAATTATTAGTTTTTAATCAATTTTCCCAGTTCAGAAGGTCAAGAATTTTTTTTGTACACTGAGATTTGATTAGGTTTAGTGTACGCAAGTCAATCCAACTAAACTTATAAGTCTATTATAGAAACCATATTGATCCCATTAGTTAATAGTAAAAAATAAATTGCCAAGAGGTTGCTGATTGGCCAGTATATTCTCTCTTCTTTCTACAAAATTCTCTGTGAAAAACTAGATTATAGTCACCAGAAGGCTGCTTACTGAGCATGAATATCAGAACAAAGAGAGTTCATTTGATGATCTTGATTGACTAATATCAAACTGATAACTGAATCCATCCATCTCCATTGTAGAGTTATACCCTTCCAAACTGACAGCTGTTTGGGCTAGTAGAGTCTCATGGCTCCTGGACAGTACTGTGAACAGATAAAATTTTTGCTTCTTAGTTTCTAGCATCTAGGCTTTTCAATCTCTTCTCATTCATTGAGAATGAGAATTTCCCCATTCTCAACTTTTTTCTTCAATGTTTTATTAATATATTTTCTAGCCATTCAAATAAATTGGAAGAGTTTTATAATGTCCTACCATCTAGAGTCTGTTATTAACATTTCAAGACATTTGGTTTACCAAATATCTGTTTATTCATTTTCTACCCATTCATAAATTTATCTTAATTTTTTATAAATTTCACAGTGAGTTGTGGACATCAGTATATTTTTCTCCAAATATTTCGGTGCGCTTATCATTGACTGAATTTCAGTATTTGTTTATAGTTCTTTTGAGGTAGAATTTACAAACCATTAAAATGAAGAGATCTTAAGTACGCCATTCATTGAGTTTTTTCAAATGCATACACTGTGTTACTCAAACCCCTATCAAGATATATCACATTACCATCACCCCTATAAAGTATCCTTCTACCCTTTTACAGTTAACCTCACCCTTTTATGAATATGCTGCGTTTTTATTTTGTACGATTGTGCTGCAGTTTCCTATTGGTGGACACCTGCACTTTTTCCTGCTTTGTCTTTTATGAATTAAGCCGCTATGAACATTCTCATGCAAGTATTGATACGGACATATGTGCTTGTTTATCTTCAGTGAATACTAATCGGAGGATTACTGGGCCATAGAGTGTATTTGTATTTTGCTTTATGAGGAACTGCCAGATCTTTATCCAAAGTGGTTGAACTATTTTATGCTCCCACCTCATGCATATGAGAGTTTCAGTTACTCCACGTGTTCTCCAAGATTGAGTGTTATCAGAATTAATTAATACTTTTAGCCATCTTATGGATGTGTAGCAGTAACTTGTAATGTGAATTTGCATTTTTCTGACGACAAGTGATGGTGGATATTTTTTTTCTGAGATTCTTTACCATATGTATATATTCGTTTGAGGGACCTGTTCGCATCATCTCCATTTTTAAAATTGAGCTCTTTGTCTTTTTATCATCAAGTTACAGGAATTCTTTGTGTATCTTGGATGTCAGTCTATCCTCAGATATGCTTGGCGAATGTTTTCTCCCATGCGTTGTCCTGCCTTTTCACTTTCATCATGATATCTGTTAGCAAGCACACTTCAAAACTGTGGGTGAGGTCTAGCATTAGCTTTCTGCATGGCTTTGATGTTCTGCCTCCTGTCTCTGCCACCTTTGTTTAGCCCCAAATCACAAAGATGTTCTCTTATGTCTCCTTCCACAAGCCTTACGGTTTTAGCTTTCACAGGTAAGTCACTCAGCCTCCAATGTTTGTGTTATTGTAAGATAGGGTTCAAGTTGTTATGTTTTTGTTTTCCCGCAAGGATATTTGATGGTTTCAGAGTCATTTCTTGAAAAGATTTGACATTCCTCCTTGGGTTCCTTCAGAGATTACTAGATCAATTTCTGAACTTTCAGTTCTGTTAAACTGCTCTGTTTGTCAGTCCTTATGCTAGTATCATGATGTCTTCATTATTGTGGCTTGCAGTTAGTCTTGAAGTCAGGTAGTATAAGTCCTCCAACTTTGGTATTCTTGTCAAGATTGGTTTTATTATTCTAGGTCTTTTCCACATAAATGATTCAGCCAGCTTCTCAAATTCTATTTTTTAAAAGTCAGACGGGATTTCAAATTGGCATTTTTGTGTAATCTGCTGATACATTTAGGAAGAACTGACATCTTAATGCTACTGAACTTTGCAGTCTATGAAAATAGCATATCTGGCCTCACACAGTGACTCACATCTGTAATCTCAGCACTTTGGGAGGATGGGGCAAGATGATCCCTTGAGCCCAGGAGTTCAAGACCAGTTGGACAACATAGTGAGATCTTGTCTCTGTAAAATTTTTAAAAAAAATTAGCTGGGCATGGTGGTGTTCGGCTGTAGTCCCAGCTACTCTAGAGACTGAGGAGGGTGAATCCCTTCAGTCCAGGGGATAAATGCTGTTGTGAGCTGTGAATATACTGCTGTGCTCCAGTCTGGGTGACAAAGTGAGAACTCAGCTCAAAAAAAAAATGTGTGTGTGTATCTCCATTTGATTTCTATAAATTTGATAAATAATTTTATTAGTTTTAATCTCTTTTTGTAGATTTTTAAAGAATTCTCTACATAAATGACCATGTTATCTGCAACTAAAAACAAGTTTTACTTACTCTTTTCTAATCTTTATGCCTAATTGGACTGTTTAATAGAAGTAGTGAAACTTGACCTTCTTGCATTTTTCCTAAACTTTGGGGAAAGTGTTCCATATTTTACCATTAGTTGTGAAGCTGTGATACTAGTTTGAGAGAGAGAGAGAGAGAGAGAGAGAGAGAGAGAGAGAGAGAATGTGTGTGTGTGTGTGTGTATGTGTGTGTGTGTGTAAAAGGGAGGCACCCAAAAAACCTGGAGTTTATTTATTGTTATGCATTCTTATACTTTGAAACTTCAGTCACCTTCAGAGTACTCTCTGTTTGATGCAATACAGCTATCAAGAGACTTTTTTCACTGCTCAAAACAGTATTTGAACTCATCCATTTTGATATCTTTTAGTGCTTCTGTCGATTTTTTTGTATTGCCCTTTGTTTAACCTACTGTGTTCATTTACTAATATTTTGTGAAGTATTTTTGTAACTATATTTATGAAGGATATTGGTCTATAATTTTCTTTGTCAGATGTTAGGGCTATGCTGGAATTATAAATTGACCCCTCCTATTTTCTTTTATTTATTTATTTATTTTTTTTGAGTTGGAGTCTCACTCTGTTGCCCAGACTGGAGTGCAGTGGCCGCTTCTGGCCACTGCAGCCTCGACCTGCTGGGCTCCGGCGATCCTTCTGCCTCAGCCTTCCAAGTAGCCGGAATTACAGGCATGCACTACCACACCCGGCTGATTTTTTGATTTATTGTAGAGATGAGGTCTCGCCTGCCCAGGCGGGTCTCGAACCTGCAGGCTCAGGCAATCCACTCACCTCAGCCTCCCAAGGTACGGGATTACAGGCTGAGTCACTGAGCCCGGTGCCCCCTCCTATTTTCTGAGTGTTCTTTTTTTCTGTTTTCTGAGAGTTTGTGTGTAATAAATCACATTTTAAAAAGTGGTTGAAATAACCGAGCAGTGAGACCATCTGAGTCTGGAGTTATAAAGTTGTTTTTGATAACAAATTGAATTTCTTTTATAGATATGAGGCAAATAATATTATCTTTTTCATCTTGTGTGAATTTTGGTTTGTTTGTCTTTTTTGAGGTATTTTTCTTTTTATTGAAGTTGTCAATTTAGTGTTGGTCACAATTTTTTTTATTTTTATTTTTGAGTTGGAGTCTCACTCTGTCACCCAGACTGGAGTGCAGTGGCCGCTCCTGGCCACCTCAGCCTCGACCTGCTGGGCTCTGGCGATCCTTCCGTCTCAGCCTTCCGAGTAGCCGGAATTACAGGCGTACACTACCATGCCTGGCTAATTTTTTTAAAATTTATTGTAGAGATGAGGTCTTGTCTGCCCAGGCAGGTCTCAAACCCACAGGCTCAGGCAATCCACTCACCTCAGCCTCCCAAAGGCACGGGATTACAGGCTGAGCCACCGAGCCCGGCTGGTCACAATTATTTTCTTTTAACATTTTAATGCCTGTAAATCCTGTAATGGTTTTCACTCCCACTGTAATCCATGTTACTGTTCATTTGTGTTTCATTTTCTTGATCAGTATACCCAGAACTTATTTAACTTAAAAAAATCTTTTTAAAGAAGTGGTTTGGCCTTGTTAATTTTCTCTGTTGCTTATTTTTTCTAACTTTTATTGGTTTCCATTCTTTTGTATTTCTTTCTACTTGGACTTACTTTTCTCTTCTTTTTATAATTTCTTAAAGTGAAATTTTATATCAAAGATTTCAAATCTTGTCTCATATAAACATTCAAAGTTATAAAATTACCTGTAAACACAATTTGTTATGTTGTGTTTTTTTTAGTCATTTAGTTTTTGGAGATGTTTCTAATCTTCCTTTCTTCTTTGACCATGGATTTTCTAGAAATGTGTTGTAGAATACCCAGATATTCAGTTGTATTTCTAGATTTTTTTTTTGAGTCTGAGTCTCACTCTGTCATCCAGGGTGAAGTGCAGTGGCCTGCTCATGGCTACAACAACTTCAATTGTTGGCTCAGGTGATCGTCCCACCTTGACCTTCCAAGTTGCTGGAACTACAGGTGCACTCTACCATGCCTGACAATTTTTTATTTATTATAGAGATGATGTTTGAAAGATGGTGGTACCAGCAAGACTCAACACCCTTTGA